AAAATACGCTACAACCTTCATCTCTCATTTCTCAACTCTCGTCACTTGTCGTAAGTCGTAAGTCGTCTCTCATCTCTCAACTTTCGTCTCTCAACAGTTAACTCTCATCTCTCAACTCTCGTCTCAGTTACGACTTATGTCGCATGCTCGCAACTTGTCTCTCAACTCCCATCTCTTATCTCTCAGTCTCAGCTCGTCGTTCATTGCTCCTGGCTTCTCGTTGAGTGCTCGACTGCTCGCAAGTCGCATAGTCGCAAGTGTAACCCGTTACTGCTCAATGCACTGCTCGCGACTCGAAAGTCGAAGGTCAATGCTCAGTGGATATGTTTATATATATCGTCTTAAGTCTTAACTTCATCTAGAAATCTTTATATATGTTATATTCAATTTCAAATACGAGATGAGTTAGGACTGATTATGAAAGTATTTCTAATCCTCTACCATGTAAGTTCTACTTCTGTCTATTCTGTTTAAGTGTGTGTTAGTTGGGGACTGAACAGTGAGTCGGTTAGCATAATTAGTTAAAATACACAGAACGTTTTTAGACATAGGAATTAGGATGTGTTAGTACATGTATGATTTATGAATTCTATTGCTGTAAATTGTGAGTCCTCTATTGTTTTTTTAATCATTGAATGCAACTATGCAAGTATGAAGTAATATAACTATGTGATAATCTGTGTCATTTGTGAACTGTAATGTATTGTGTATCTGTCTTTCTAAATTCTGATTGTTGTTCTTCTTGTTTGTTTCATTTTTTTACAGATGACACAAATTGAAGGTAAGGTAACTGAAAGTGGAGCTTCAAATGAGAGCATACCTAACACCTCATCTTCCAATGAGGTTGAAGTTGATGTTGATACTTCAAAGAAAAGAAAACTCATAGAACCTAGAGCTACTTGTTGAAAGCATTTTGACAAGTTCACTGATGAAAGTGGAGCTAAGAAAGCCAAATGCAAGTATTGTGCGAAACCTTATGCAACTTCTACATCAAGTAATGGTACGTCGTCATGAATACTCATATGAGAATATGTCCTAAATTTCCCCGTGACACCGTAGATAAAAGTCAAATTCTAATTAATTTTCTACCATCTTCAATGGGAGCAAAGGAAGGGGTGATTAGCACTTGGAAATTTGACCAAACACAAAGTAAGAGAGATTTAGTCAAAATGATAATTGTTGACGAGCTGCCGTTTAGTTTTGTTGAAAAAGAGGGTCTTAAAAACTTCATGAGAGTTACAGTGCCACAATTTCATATTCCTTCTCGTAGAACCATGACGAGAGATTGTTATGAACTATACCTCGAAAAAAGATAATTTTTGAAGAAGGTTTTCAAAAAGAAGCACGTCCAAGAGTTTGTCTTACGACAGATACTTGGACATCTATACAAAAAATCAACTACATGTGTCTGACATCCCACTTTATAGATAGAAATTGGACTTTGTATAAAAGAATAATAAATTTTTGTCTTATTTCTAGTCATAAGGGCGGGGATATAACGGCTTGCATTACTAATTGTTTGCTTGAATGGGGTTTGGATAATGTGTTTACTATTACAGTTGATAATGCTAGTTCTAATAATGTTACTTGAAAGAAATGTCTAAACAATTGACTAATTGGGGAACTAACATTATGGATGGTGACCATCTTCATGTGAGGTGTATGACATATATCCTTAATCTTATTGTGCAAGATGGGTTGAAGAAAATTGGTAAGTCTGTCAAGCTAGTGATACAAGCTCGTAAAATACATTAAACAATCTCCCGCAAGAATTCGAAAGTTCAAAGAATGTTGTGAATCTCAATTGATAACTTATAAGAAATCATTATATTTAGATGTTCCTACTAGGTGGAACTCTACATATTCGATGCTTGATGTAGCACAACATTTTGAGCTTGCATTTGAAAGATATAATTTTTATGACATTGGATATTTGAATCATTTTCGTACCTTTGGTTCTGATTCTTCTGAAGGTGAAGATGGAACTAGTGCAAAAGATGGAACCAGTGCAGATATTCTTACAAGTGTTGACTGGAAAAATGTGAGGTGAATGGTGAAATTTCTTGAAACTTACTTTTTATGTACTTACTTTGAAGGTCTCTGGTTCTAATTATGTCACTAGCAATACACACTTTGTTGAAATTGCTGAACTTAATCTTATTTTGAAAGAGATGATGGAAAATGAAGATGGTAATTTGAAAGAAATGACAAAAAGTATAAAGGAAAAGTTCAAAAAGTATTGGGGTGAACCACATAAAATGAACAAGATGATCTTTATTTCATCCGTGTTGGATCCCCGAAACAAGCTTATTATGTTTCATTTGCAATTGTGGATATGCTTGGAAAAGAAGTTGGGGACAAGCTATGTTCAAAAGTGAAAAAATACATGAACAAATTGTCTGATTATTATGTTGAGAAATCCTCAAAAAGCTCTTTGCATGTATCATGTTCACCCACTTCATATGAAAACTCATCAAGTATATCTAGTGTGAGTGGTTCTGGCAACTTTGTAAATAGAGAAAGAATGAGAACGAAACAACAATTTGAGAAGCATAAAGAAGTTAGTGGAAGTTCAGGTAGTAAATCAAAATTGGAAAGATATCTTGCTGAAGATATTGAACCAGATAGTGATGGCTTTGATATATTAATGTGGTGAAAAGTAAATGAGCCGAGATTTCCTATTCTTGCGGAGATGGTTCGTGATATGTTAGCCATTTCTATTTCAAGTGTCGCATCAGAATGTGCATTCAGCACATGAGGTCGTGTTATTGATCCCTTTAAGAGTTCATTAACTCCTAAACTTGTGCAATATCTTATTTGTGTTCAAGATTGGCTTAGAAGTGAGCCTTTTCCAATCAATATTGAGGAAGATTTAGAGTATCTTGAGCAACTTGAACTTGATAAGATTTTGGTATTTGTATTAATTATATTGAAAATAATTTTCTTACTTGTGTTTCTTAACAACTAACAAATTTTTCATATTTTTTTAGATTTTGCTTGTAGTGGGACTGAATCTAGTATCATTGATATATAGTTGCAACTTGTAAGTTCAACTATCAACTAGTGATGCGTGGTAACGGGTAAGTAAAGAACTTATTTACATAACTTGCTCGATAGTTTTATATATTTTATTATGAAATGTAGATCATTAGTCTAAAGAGTTCTATTTTCTCGCAGGCACATTAATGTTTTGTTATTTTCTTGATTGCTATTTGTTGGAACTTGGGAGCTATTGCACTGGAGTCTGGAGGTTGCAAGTTGCAACAATGTTTTGTTGGTTTTTTAATGTTTTGGTTACTGGCTTGCTGCAAATTGCAATGTTGTCTACTGACAGCTAGACTTTTCACTTTAGTTTGTAACTAACTCTATTTTAGGGTTGGGCACAAGTTTGTTGAATTTTCTAGTGTTGTTGGCTTGACTCTTAATAGTCTTTTATTTCTTATTTTCGACTAGTTTGTTAATGTTGTTGCCTGCTGGACAAGAATTATCTGTTTTGTTTAGATATTTTAGTCAATGATATGGTAAGTTTCAAGTAAAAGGCTTGTGAGTTGTGACGTGCTTATAAAGAAGGGTGTCCATTGTCCTGCACTTGTTGATTTATGGGTGTTGACTCTTGAATATGGTATCCTCTGGGAGCTCATTGCATTTGTTTAACTGCCATGAAATAACTTGAATGGTTGAAAGTTGAGACTTGGTGAAACAAATTAAGGCTAAGAAAGTCAAATTTTGATCAGTTTATAATCAAACCAACAGAAAATAATCCAGATGCCACAGCCCACAAACCGCGTTAATTAAATTTGATTAAATCGAAATAAATCGAACCGAAATTGTAATAACCGAACCAAATCGAATTTATTTCAGTTTGGTTTGATTTCATATTTTGCCAAACTGAAAAAATCGAATCGAAATTTACAAACCAAACCGAACCGACTGAACGCCCAGCCCTATCCCCTATGAGGAAAAAAAAGCAAACAAGAAAGCAGAAACTGAAACGTGAAGGAAAGAAGAAAACCTGAAGAGCTATTACGCTTGCTCTGATACCATGTCAAAATAGAAGACTATATTGGAAATTTTTCTTTGAATTGATGATATGCTCTGTACAATTTACCTATATTTATACAAGTATCTTGCTAACTAACTGCACAACTGGCTATTTCTAAATGGTCTATCTATATCAAACTAAGAGATAAATATAGAAAATATATAATAAAAAATGTCTTAATTAAGTTCTAGAAAATAGTGTATATGCTAAAGCCCAGTCGTTTAAAATAGATCCAATCAAACATCTGAGGCCCAAATCTGAGGCCCAATGATTGCATAACCTAAGTCCAAAATATCATTTGTAGATTCTTTCATTTGTAGCTACTTCCATGTTTAACTAGTAGCCATTAGAAAAGTGTAGAGTCGTCGTCTGAGAAGAATTCCAACAAAATGACCATTCGGACATATTTTTTCCCACAAGAATGGCCGCATAACTTTCTTTCTTCTTCTACTTCTTCTGCGTCTTCTTCCTTCTTATTCTTCCTCTTCGTCCTCCTATTCCTCTTCTTCGTCCTCCCCCTCTTCTATCTCCCTCTCCCTTCCTCTTCTTCTTTTTCTTCTCAAATCTCAATATACTACAAACGTGAATCGTTTTGAGCAAGTTATAAACTAAAAAAACATCGAGAGTATTTCATATCTAAAATTATAGACTGTTTAAAGGAAATTTTGAATTTGTCAGAATTAAATGATTAGTGTATACTTTATTTATAGTAAATGTATCATAATATATAGTCAACGTATAACTCGAGTATAAGTAAATTATATTCAACTTTTTGAATATACCATAATAAATAGTCAATATATTATTATTTTTTTACTAAACTTACTTTATTGTATATTTATGAAAGTTGAAACTATCCCTTTCCTAAATGTAATAACACATCTCGAGCTAAATTAAGATAGATTAGCAAATCCCACCTTTAGATATAGGTCCGCATTCCGCAAGTTAAGCCCGGAAATCAAACCTCCGAGTTCCAGTAGATTCCTCTGGCATCGGTTTCATTTTCCTTCTCTTCCAAGCTCTGCTGCTTTTCTGATCGGAATCAGTGAACGCCATGGAATACGATTTCAGGAACAGAACAGGACCTCCTTACGATACACAATCGCCGATGTACGGCAGGGCAGCTACCGGAGCTCCACATCCACATCCGAACCCACAGCCACATCCAATGTACGGACAAGCTCCCGGACTCTATCCTAGGCCTGGTCAACACTCCGGCGGCCGGAACCCTCCTTTCCATCACACGCCTCCTCCGTCTTCAAACAGTATGTATTTCATCCATCTCTTATTTATGTCACCTGTAGGTTATAAGTTCGGATTTCAATTTTTCAACTAGTGTAATTTTGATCTCTTACCTGTTGAATTCCACTTTTGCAGCTGGAATTGGCATCAGAGTTGCTATTAAACCCGAATATCGGATTACACCTCCGGTACGAAACCTATAACTCTGCTCATCAACTTAAGAAATGACAACTGGATCCATAAAATGAACAAATCAATTAGATTTAAATTAGGAATTCTGTCTCCAATTCTATTTTTGCTTTCGTCGAATATTTCTTTTGTGTATTGTTTAGTATTGTATCAGTTGCATAGCTTAAAGCTTTTGTGTGAACAATAGGTTCTTTTTGGTTTATTGCAGCCTCAATTGTCAACACAAGTGGGAGAAATTCCCCGAAGCACATTCAACTTTGATTTTGACCTTGAGAAAAAGATTTTGGCTGAAGCAGAAAAGGAAAGCCAGAACTGGAGCAGGCTAGGGCTGGAAAATCTTCCACCTAGAATGCCAGAACAAACTAACATGGTACTTACATTTTTTGTTATCTTGTTAACTGCCCTACTAAAATGTAAAATCTATTTACATGAGTTTCTCAAAGCGTAGCATGTCCAGTATCTGAATAAATATGGAGAATTAGTGTAGGTTATTCCGCAGCATAAAATAAGAATGTCTAAATATAATAAATCATTTGAATACTGAATTTGTTGGAATGCACCCACCTAGGACCACACTTGTTTGACCCTTGAGTAGAGCAAAATGGCTCCCCACCCGCAGTTTAGAATTGAGGTGTAGTTGATTGTTAGCTGAAGTGCTCCCTCCATTTCAATTTATATGATGGTACTTGACTGAGCATGGTGTTTAAGATAATTCATTTTGACTTATGTATATTAGTAGTGGTAGTGGAAGAAATAATGATAAACAATAGGATAAGTTCATTTGAGAGAGAAACATCACATCAAAATTTAAAATCTGTATAGTTTAATGGATGTGCATTGTTGGAAGTTGGATAGACATGGAACGATAATCATTTTGGAACTTGCAAAAATGAAAAGAGAGTTGTGTAAATTGAAAATCAGAGAGTACTAGTTTGGTTTCTACCCATAAACCTTTTTTTTTAACCAGCTAGGATGGTGATTGGGTCATGAAGACTAAGATGTTAATCGGAAGATCTCTATTGCTATGTATTTTCTTCAACAGTCTTAAATCGTTGAGAATTAGCTCATCAACAAGCAAAAGAAATAGACGAGCTGTGGACCTGGGACACCTGTATTATGGCATATGGCATGAGTGGTCAAATCTGTAAAGTAGTTTGAGCATTGAGATGGAACTCACTTAATTTTGTGTAATGTGTAGGAGATTACTTCCAACACTTGCCTTTAAAGATTCCTAGTCTGCAATGGACCTGAAGAATTTAGGGTTTTCTTATAAAAAAAATAAAGTGAAACTGAAGAGTTTGAGATGCAGCTCACTGCCAGTCATTCAGTTCAATCACTTTTTTCTATAGTCAATAACAAATGTGGCGTGAGTTTAATATCTGTTCAGGCTCTTTCTCTGGATTGAACTTCTAGATGTTTGAAGTGATGTTAATAAGCAACCCTACCGGTAAAGGATCGTTTCCTTAACATCATGTTCCTGTTAACCACAATAAGCTTGGGGATAATGACACAGAAGTTGCTAATATGATACATGTAGACAACATTTCATCCTCAAGCTGAATCCCTCCAACCAAATTTGCATAAGGTCAAATTTTATCAATAAACTACCAAGATAACAACAACATACCCTGTGAAATCTCACAAGTGGGGTCTGGGGAGGGCAGAGTGTACACTAACCTTACCCCTACCTCGTGGAGGTAGAGAGATTGTTTCTGAAAGACTCTCGGCTCAAGTGCAACAAATCCAAGTAAAAAAGAGAAGAAGAAAGCAGTGAAGAGAACATTAGCAACTAATTAGGATGGTACCAATAAACTACTAAGATGGTACAAAAAAATACATAAACCAACAACATAAAAAACGTCAACACATCAAGTAATCCCTTAAGATATCCATGTATCCAGGTTATCTAACATACTACTATTACACCAAAAATATAAGTTATGCAAACAAGAAATCTTTATTTTAAAATATCCGGTCCTTTTTCCTTTAGAGCAAGCCTTATTTCTTTCTAGCCATATAATCCAGAAAATAGCATATGAGAATGGTTCTCTAGATTTATTTTAGGTTTTATGCATCAAACTTTGTCAGCAATCCATCAAACTCTTAGGGATTGTTTGGTGTGATGTACAGGGTATTTTTGGGGAAAAATTATTTCTTTAGCTTTTGAAAAATAACTTTTGCTACTGCCAAAAGCTTGGCCAATCACTTTTTAAAAATAAACACTTTTGGCTTCCCAAAAGCTTGGTCAAACATGCTATAAGTTATACATGATTCCAATTACAACCAAACAGTGGATTCAAATAATCATGTATATAATTTGGTATAACTTTAGTTTTACAAAAATATATAATTTGGTATAACTTTATCCGTTGTTTGGTTGTAATAACTTATAGTCTATTTGACCAAGCTTTTGGGAGGCCAACTATGCTTATTTTTAAAAACTAGGGTGTTTGGTGTTTGGGGGTAACCGAAGTTATTTTTCAAAAGCTTTTTTTTTTAGAAGGATTATTTTTCAAAAGCTAAATAATTTTTTTTTAAAATAAAATAAAATTGGGGGTAGGGGAAGGGGAAATGGAGAGGGGATTACAATGTGGGGAATCAAACCCTCACCAACAAGGTGAAAGTTCAGGTAGTCAACCAACTGAGTTACTAAGATTCCCCATTGAGAAATGCACTATTTACATCAAGTTGGTATATATCCCACTGTTTCTTTGCAGCAATGGCAATCAATGCCCTCACAGTTGTCATTTTAACAATTGGGAGAAGGTCTCTGTGTAGTCTATGTCATGATGTTGAGTGTACCCTTTCACTACTAACATGGCTTTGTATCTTTCCACACTTCCATCAACTTGAATTATCTTATACATCCACCTACAACCAATTGCTTTCTTACCAATAGGTAAAGGTATGATGGACCAAGTATTATTGTCATGCAAAGCAGCAAATTTCTGAGTCAGGGTTGTTTGCCAAGCAGGATCAAGAGCTGACTCTTCATAGCTAGATGACTCACAATCATGAGTAATATTCAAAGCAAAAAGTTGCTATTAGGATTTAGTTATGCAGGAGAGATTTGGTGTTTGAGAGAAAAACAAGCAATTAGGGAGGAAGGTTACTTGAAATTTTTGAATTTAAGGTTACAGTATTTATTTGTGATTTTTTGGCGTTAATTTTATATTTTTTTTCATATTTTTTATTAATCAATTACTTATTTTTGGGATTTACCGGAAAAAAAAAACTTTAAAAAATTTGTTGAAATTGTTGAATTTAAGTTTACAATATTTATTTGTGAATTTTTTGCATTAATTTTATATTTTTTTCATATTTTTCCTATTTTTTATTAATCAATTACTAATTTTCGGGATTTACCGAAAAAAATAAAAATTTAAACAAAATTGTTGAAAACGGGTCGGGTAGTTTATTTAAAAAGGGGGTTGATTTATGGGTCGGATTAGGTGTTTATGGGTTCGAATTTTTTAGGGGCATAATTGATCTCTTTTCATTTTCATATAAATGTCATGTAGTAAGTCAAAATGACATGGCAATTCCACGTGGCATTTAAAGAAATGGAAAATGAACTGGATATGTCCAGCAGGCCAACTAACGCCCATAAGGGCATATTTAGACGAAAAGTTGGACGGCGAGGGCATGAGTGAGCCAAACTTTAAACAGAGAGTATAACTAGACCTTTTCAAATAGTTTAGGGGCATATTTGACCCTGTGCCCTTTATTTTATGACATTTTTTAGGATATTAAATATCAAGTCTATGGACAAAGGTAGTTAGCTTCCTTAAATGTTTGATATATATATAAAAATAACTAAGCATTGGTTCCCAAGAGTGCATCATGTGCTTTTTTTTAGAATATTTTTCCCGGAAGTTTTGGAATGTGGACTACATTGAATGTTCTGCAGTTAAGAAACTCAATGTGATTCTGATCTGTGGTCTTTTTGTTGAAATTTGAATGAATCTTTTCTTACTTGGATATATATTTTTCTTTCTTGAATGTAGGGATACACTGGAGATCCTATGATGAACAAATACGCAACATCTGGTTTCAATAGAGAGGCTGTGGCAATAGCAGTTGCAAATTATGGAGATAATCCTATCAAGGTATATATCCTTTACATGCTTCTCTTACATATATGTTTGGATGTGGCACTATGAGCATTGTCAAATTAGTTATTTACCAAAATTACCTAAAATTAATTTTTGTGAAGACATTTCTCCACAAGAATTTCCATTTCTTATGATCCCCTGTCCTTGGTCGAATTTCAAATTTTATTCACTGAGGAATCAACTTAACTAATTTTTGTAGTGAAATCGGTAAATGATTAGATTCTTCTTTGAAAATAGGGTTCACATATCTGGAAAGTGCATGAAAGTACAACATGATGCAACTATCTGCATCATAAAACCATTTTGGAAATATTTACAGTAATGTTTACAAATTTTGAATTTTAGTTACTAAAAAGCAAATCATGACATTTTAATTTGTCGCCGAGATGGCAGCACGGTCAAGTGGAGAAGTGTTATATAATAATTTGTTCAATAGCATTAAGGAGTACTTGTCTCTATAGTAAATGTGACCATTCATTAGCTCTTCTAAACAATTTCAACAACTTTCTTTCAGGTCAAGGAATTTGTGGAGGGATATACTCTCTTGAAGGAGATGGGATTCTCATCTAACAGTGTTGCAGATGCTTTACTGATGAATGACAACGATAAAGATAAGGCAGCAGCTCAATTGCTTGGCAATTCATCATAATAATTTTATTGAGCATGTAATGTAATGAATGTGTCAATACATTATAATTCAAACCTTATAATTCCATTGTAAATGTATGTTTAGCCATTTACTTGTGTGCAGATGAGATATTTTCTGATAAGCCCTATTATTAACTTTTAAATAAGTGATGTCTGGTGTTACTGATAGCTACAGATTGCGATAAAACATATTTGGCTGGTAGCGATTATTCTTCTTCCATGTCAATTGTCGAGTTATATTCAATTGTCATTGCTGAGCATTGCGCACCAGTCACCACCTGTGTTAATCATGTCTAAATGCATTGGAAGGTTGGATCTATTGATTCAACTTTGAAGTTGATCAAGTTCGGTATAAGAACATCAAACTTGCTTGCCCTTTTACATTAACAATCGAAGGGAAATTTGGAATTTACATCACCCCTAACTAGGTATTTACATGAAAGAAAAATACAATTCCAAGACACTGTTATGTCGACTAAATGTGTATGTGCATTTAAGGGGTGAACAGTCAACATGATCACAAACCAAATATGTTGTCACCGGGACCAAATATTGCAGCAGTAAATTGTCGTGTGTTCAAGTCATTCCCATCCAGACCCGAACCAAATCTATCAAGCCACTGAGTTGGACTAGGATTTTCTGCCTCTTCCACCCACTCAGATGTCATATCTATGTCATCAAGTTGGAGAGGATCTTCCTCAGGAGGTTTAGAAACCAAATACCGTGCTAGCTTCAGATTATAATTTATGTAAACAAGGTCTAAAAGTGTTTCCTTATCAATCTTATTGCGCTTCTCAGAATGGATTTGCTGAAATGTGCTCCAATGTCGCTCAAAAGTGAACGTACTGCACACCTGGCTAAGTATTTTAATAGCAACTCTTTGCAATGTAGGAGCAGCATCACCATACTGTTCCCACCAGATACCTACAGTGCATTTCTGTTGCGTTAGTCCATTGAAAATTAGTTAGGCTATGAAGAAAACCTAGTGTGAAAAGCATGATGTGTTGTCAGCAGTCATTTTTCTTTAATCTATCAGATGCAAACGAGAGGATAGAAAACTATTAACAGAATTAAAAGTTATTTATGACATGCTGTAGAATGTCCATGCAATTGATGCAGTCCACAGGAGACACATAGTTACAGATCAACTCGATATAATTTCAACTTAATCTGTGTTTTAAGCCAGTACCAAAGTCTTATTACAAGTTAATGCATACCAATCATTAGTGTTGTCTTCCAACTTTTAGGGGTAATACATTTTTCATATATTTGAGAAGTTCTACCAACTTAAATGCTTCCCCGAATATTTAATCTTGCAGGAAGTGATATGTATGTATTCCGAGGCAGAATTGCCATGCAAGTACAACTGCTTTTTTGAAACTTATGGTTTTACTTAACTTAAGGGGTAGCAACCACAACAAATACTGGTAGCAATCCTTGAGGACCAAGGTTTGAAACTCAGCAGATAATGGGCCCACTCTTCAACCTTTTTTCACTTAAATACCAGGCTTTCGTCTATAGCAAGGTTTGAATACTCAACTTCTATAGTACTCTAAAGCCTAGAACCTTGATTGGTAATCATTATCCACGTCTAATCATGCTTGGTTAATTATCATCTTCACGAATCCTTTGGGCATTGATCCTGGGGGGGGGGGGGGGGGGAGTGTTGTTGAATATGAAACCATGTCAAGTACCAGCGTCACGGTCGGTCGATGTTGTGAAAACTGAGAGCAGAACATTTGCCCAAGACTTCAAGGATTTCAGAGCTCCTAAGAGGGATGTCAGGGCAGAACTCAACCGAGGACAATGGCCAACTTCGACCAAGTTTTCTCATAACTCTGAGACGCACATAAGGCTGGACAACCCGAAGCCCCATTAAGATGATAAGTAGACTGAAAGAAGACATGTATATCATTGGTCCCCACTCCCCTCAAAAGAGGTGATATACATTTCTTTTCGTCTATTTCTAATCTTATGGGGTTTCAAGGCGTCCAGCCTTATGTGCCTCTCAGAATTATGAGACCACTCGGTTGACGCTAGTCTGTACCCCCAGATGAGGAGATGCGGGAATTTATGTAAGAGTTTTTCCCTGACATACCTCTTAGGATCTCCGAAATCCTTAAAAGTTCGGGCCAAATGTTTGCTTTCAGGTTTTCACAATATGGTGGCCCACCGTGACTGAGGTGAAGTGGACCGCTGGTACTTAACATGATTTCATAATCAAGCTCCCCTAGAATCAACTCCCGAAGGATTCGTGAAGAGGGGGCATAGACCAGAAAGCCGGGGTGGAGAAGACAAATAAGCAAGCATGGCTAAATGTGGAGAGAGATTATCAGTCCACCATTCAGACCCTGAGATAGACCTGGAGCATGCTAGGGAAACAATAGAAGAACAACAAGCAGAATTTGCAGAGGAAAGAACTCATATAGAACTTACGATCCAAGGACAAGTTAACTTGTCAACAGTTCAGGTCTCACCTCATCTCGTCAGCAAAAACTGCGAGAAAATGACCTTGATTCCAGGCAGGTCTTAACGAGGAGAGGGACCGATGGATGTGTAAGAGGGGTGTGACACGAGGAACATAAACATGACCTATGATATCTTTAATGTAGAAGATGCTGGTCAGCCTTTCTACTATCTCAAGGAGAAGAAAGAAGAATAAACAGACAAGATTTTTCTTAGGATTGCTTTAAGTTTGTAGAATTATCACTATTATGTAAATGGGATGCAAAAAATGTAAAGCTTCAAGTATACCTGGAGGAACAGTATCAATTGCTTCCTTCACCAGATTACAACCAAACATCCCAGATGCCCGTGTATATAAAAGGATTTGAGTAGTGATATCTCGCCTCAGTTCGGGAGTTGGTAGCAGCTTCTCCAGCACTCTGAAAAAATCTTCTTTTATTGACCCAAGAAACTTGACTTCTGGGTTATATTGGATGCCAGGATTCAAAAAGGCAGCTGCTGAATGCAGAGGAGAGTGGAGGTTGTTCTTCCAGTTCTTATCCACTATATCTAAAAATGTCTTGCACTTTATTTCATCCATAATATAGTATGTCCTTATAGATTCCTTTGCTCTGGTCAGTAGTTCATATATAGTTCCCACAGCTGGCTTTCCTCCAGAAACTTCTCTCATAACTTTGAGAAAGGGTTCAGAAACAGCAACACACTCTTCAGCTGTCCTCCAAAAGTCATTGTCATCCAGAATAGCGATACAATTAACACTTTGCGATTTGTTTGTATAAGCAGAATTGGCAGCAAGCTCTGGACTGTTAAAAATAACTTTCAATCTTGACCTATACTTCAATAGACATTGCAAAGAGAGGAAGTTTGATACAGACTTCGTGATACCAGTCTTAATGATCTCTTGTCCTCCAGTGAACTTTTTCATGAGATCAAGCAATGGAGAATTGTTGTATATAAACTTCGAGATTGATTGTGCCTGTAAAATGCATCTATTTACCCAATCTAATTTTGAAAACTCGTCTAAAATTGCATTTATACACTGTGAAGCACAAGGGGACACAAAAACATTCCCATAGTTCTGCAAAATATGGTTCACTATACCAGTGCAGTGAAGTGTATTATCCACAATTACCTGTACAACATTCTCTGGTCCAAAATCTTGGATGATTGAATCAAACAACTCAGAGAGGCATTTCAGATTCTTAAAATATGAAGATGCATCTACAGATTTGTAGAAAAAAGTCCTGGAGGGCGATGAAACCAAGAAGTTGATCAAAGCTTTCATTTTGTTGTCCGTCCATGTTTCTGCAATTAAAGTGCAACCTGTCATAGCCCACTCTTTCTCAACATCTTTTGACTGTAAACTTACTTCAGACTTGATCCTCTCCAACCACGTCGCTTTCAGAGTTTCAGGAGAAGGACCTATAAACCCACTGCCACACTTCCCTACTGCCTCAATCATTTGATGGTAAGAGGAAGATCTTGCTACACCAAAGTCAATTTTGTTCTCAAAAAAGAACAATGCAATACTCCTCTCAGCATTTTCTTCGTTATTTCCAGATGAAGAAATAGCCTGGCCAATTGGTGGAAAAATCCTTGCAATTGGAGTTATTGGTTCCACAGATAAAAGCGGTTTTTCTGGAGAGATATTTGCAAGAGCTTTTGTCTCAATGAGCTTATGCTTTTTCATACTAGGAGGTTCCTTTGATCCTATTATATCCCTTACCCTGTCAGTAACATCATCCCTGACCTTAGTACATGGATTCACACCTTTACTGGGAAGTCTGGATAAGTGGTGTTTTAACCTACTAATGCCACCATTTAGAATTCTAAGACAGAATTTACACCTCACTTTATTCCCGTCTAACTTCTCAGCATATTCCCAACAGACGTCTTTTTCTCGAACCACTGTCAGTAAAAAATCTGTTAGAGAATTTTCTGACTATCTGCTCAAAAAATAAATTTCTGAATCAGCCAAGATGGGCTTTTCTTTATTCCTTTTGTTTTCTTTTCCCTCTTAAGATAAAGAAGATTCTATAACACAGTGCACAATAATGAAACATAAATGTCATTCGGGAAATCTCTTTAATGATTTGAAATTAATACAATGATATGATCAAGTGTCATCTGCGACTAAGATAGGTATATATTATCTTAGGTTTCAATGATAAGCCCCAAAAAAATGCTATTTAATATGCCGATCATCTTCAACTCATGCAACAATAATGTATCTCGATTCACTAACAAAGCTAAAAGTGATGTGTACGGATAGGCTTCTTTAGATCATATACCAAGATACTTTTGAAAATCTCAACTATAAATGATTGTCATTGTGTTAAAAACTGCCAGCATTTAAATTGGAAAAAACTGCACGAGCAAATCACACGGCAGTTTTACCACCAGTAAACTACATTAAAACTCCATAAATCAAAACTAGGTTCTATTTTGTTAAACTGATCAACTAAATTTCTTTTGATTATATGGCGAAGAAGTGCAATTAAGCATACATATTTTTTGATAGGTTAATTATCTTCTAACGATTATCTTTCAAAACAAGGGGAAGCATCAAACATGGCTTTGATTACCATATTTGACATTCGGTAAGGCAAGGATTGAA